AAATTAGTTTTCGGTGTGTCCTTCATTTATTTCTTTAGTCACCCTCCCTGAGTGCCCCGCTCAGCCCAGCTCTGCCCTGCTGCCCTCGGACTCGGAGTCTCGGGGGAGGCAGAGCTGTCCCTCCACGGCGATGGCCCCAACTGGGCGGGGCCGGCCTGTGGAGCTCAGGAGGCTGGGCCAGCCCACAGGGGACCCCTGGCCTAACCTGAGGATCAGGGAGGGCTTCTCAGAGGAGGGGGCACTGAGCTGAACCTTGGGCCAAGAAATGCACATATAAAAGTACGGAATATTTGAACCCTGAAAATAATTCCTCGTGTGTCGGGGTGCTGGTAGGGAAAGATGTGCTGATTGTATGGGACCTTTAAGGTCATTTTGAGGAATTGGGGATTTGTCCTAAAGTCAGTCAATAGAGAAACCGTCAAAGGGCTTTGAGCAGGAGGGTGCTTTGGTCTTATGTTTCCTTGAATATGGTGACTTCACATGTGGAAGGGGCCCTGGCGGTGGGGGGGCGGGGCGCGGACCTGGCCCGAGATCAGGGCAGAGTCCTAGAAACCCAGAGGTCGTGCTTGCGCTTCCAGCTTGGACAGGTTTTTTTCAGTGTACTTAGTGTGTAGGTGGTGGTGGTTCTTTAAATTTTATTTTTCAGTTACAGTTTGCATTCAGCATAATTTTGTATTAGTTTCAGGCATACGGCATAGCAGTTAGACAATCATATACTTTACAAAGTGATCCCCGGAAATTTCAGGTACTCACCTGGCACCATACAGAGTTATAACAATATTGTGGATGTACTTATGTGTTTTTATTTTTATTTTTTAATATTCTATTGATTTATTTTAAAGATTTTTTTTTTTAATTTTTAGAGAGAGGGAGAGAAACATCAATGTGAGGTTGCCTCTTGCGCACCCCCTTCTGGGGACCTGGACTGCAACCCAGGCATGTGCCCGGACTGGGAATTGAACAGGTGGCCCTTTCGCTTGCAGCCTGCGCTCAGTCCCCTGAGCTACAGCAGCCAGGGCTGCTTGTGTATTTTTAAAATCACATTAATTTTTAATTTTGTCAAGGAGGGCAAGTATGTAAAGAGCCAAATATATCTCTGATTTATGGTAAAAGGAAGAAAACCCAATTATCTCCCTTCCCACCTCAGTCCTTGCTCACCACAGGAAACGGCTTGAACTCTTTGAGCTGTTTTTGGCACCTGCAACATTATTTCTAAATAAGGTTCTCAGCCCTGGCTGGTGTAGCCTAGCGGATGGGGTGCAGGCCTGTGAACCAAAGGGTCTCCAGCTCAACTCCCAGTCGGGGCACGTGCCTGGGTTGCGGGCCAGGTCCCCAGTGAGGGGACCTTTTTTCCTTCTCGTTCTCCCTCCCTTCTTTTCCGTCTAAAAATAAATAAATAAAATCTCTAAATAAATAAAAGAAAAACAACAACATTCCCGTGACCAGTTGTGTTGTACCCGGCATCTCACCACGGCCCGTTCGCTGCCCTGGGCTCCATGAGTGTGCAGTTAGTGAGTTAGCGTGATTACACGACTCACTTCACAGCTCACCGGTGAGTGACTGCACGTGTTAGGAGCACATTCCCCTTATTCTACCAGGAAGCAGCCGCCGTGCGTGCGGAGGTGTAGGTGTGTCTCCAGGGGTGGCGAGAGGTGCCGGGCCCTTTGCCACGCGCCTCACTCACTTCAGGACTAGCGTACAGGAGAAAAGGCTCGTTCCACAGGGAAAGCATTCGATGAAGTCCAACAGCTGTTCACCATGAAGGCTCTCCCTGAACTGGGAATACAAAGGCGCCTCTTGCCCTGACTGGTACGGCTCAGTGGGTTGGCGTATCATCTTGTGGACCAAAAGGTCCCAGGTTCGATTCCCAGTCTAAGGGACCTACCTACCCAGGTTGTTAGTTCAGTCCCTGCTCGGGGTACATATGAGAAGGCAGCCAATCAGCGTTTCTTTCTCACTTTGCTGTTTCTCTCCCTCTCCCCCGCTTTCCTTTCCTCTGTCTCTAAAGCAATGAGAAAATGTCCTGAGGTGGTGGTGGGCTGGGCGGGGGACGGGGGAGGATCTTCTTTAATACTACAAAGGGTATCTTAGCAAAAGAGTTCAGTGAACAGCATATTTATATGTAAAGTTAAACTGCATATGTTCCTTCAGTGCTTGGAATAAGGGTAACCTTTTCTTTTGTTTTTGTAATATCTTTTTAAAAAAGATTTTATTTATTTATCTTTAGAGGGAAGGGAAGGAGAGAGGGAGAGAAATATCAATGTATGGTTGCCTCTCGTGAGTCCCCTGATGGGCACTGGCCTGCAACCCAGGCATGTGCCCTGACTGGGAATCAAACCGTGGTTGCTTGGTTCCCAGGCCCACGCTTAATCCACTGAGCTACACCAGCCAGGGCTAGGGTAACCTTTTCTAAGCAGCATAATGTTGTAGCTTGTAGCTAGTGTGATAAGGCAAAAATAATCACCAGCTAATTAAAAGCAGAAAGATTGGGGAAGAATTGAAGTGATTGTTGACTGACAACACGACCGCATGCAGAAGTTAGCCAGAAGAGCCTAAAGACCAACTATGAAAGTAAATACAGGCTGGTGCGAAAGAAGGTGTGCAGTTGTGAGTGTGTGAGACACAGTTCATTTTTGTATTATCGCTTATTGATTATTGTTTTCCATACAGACAGCTGTGAACCATCTTCTGCCCCACCCTGTCCATGATTTTGTAGCGCGGTTGCTAGATATAAGGTCAACATACAAAAATCAGTTGTGTTTTTATGTGCTACCAACAGACAATTGGAAAATGAATTTATTGTTTTAAAGATTTTATTTATTTATTTTCAGAAGGGAAGGGAGGGAGAAAGAGAAGAAAATATCAGTGAGTAGTTGCCTCCTAACACCGCTTACTGGGGATCTGGCCCACAACCCAGGCATGTGCCCTCCTGACTGGGAATAGAACCGGCAAACCTTTGGTTCCCAGGCCGGTGCTCAGTCCACTGAGCCACAGCAGCCAGGGCTAGAAAATAAATTTAAAAAACTTCACAATAGCATCAAAACCCCTCAAGTCTCTAGGAATAAATTTGATAAAAGATGTGCAGGCACTCTGAAACTGTCCGATACCCCTGAGAGGAGGAAGGCCTGTGTAGAAGGGGAGCTGTGTGACCCTGCCCCTGGGCAGGAGACCAAATGGTGTTGCTAAGACTCCAGATCGAACTGTGGATCCAGTGCGATCCCAGTAAACACCCTAACCAGGTCTTGTGGTTGTTAGGAGCAAGTGCATTCTAAAATCTATGTGGAAATGCCGAGGTCCTAGAATAGAACGTTTCAAAGGAGAACAGAGCTTGAAGACTTACACTCTCAAGTTCAAGACTAACTATAAAACCCAAGTGGTTAAGCCAGTGCAGGGTTGGTGCGGGGACTGACGAATGGGCCTCGGCGAAGAATGGACTGTCCACAGCTAGACCCACGTGTGTGTGCTGTTGTCCAGCGGAGGCGCCGCTGCAGCTCAGTGCGGGAGGGACGGGCGTTACAGTAAATGGTGCAGCTGCACACCCCCCCAGGAAGAAGCCCCGCGCCTCTCCCACCAGGGGACATCGGCCGTGTCTGAGGACGTTTTGGTCGTCAAAGCTTGGGGGAGCTACTGGCAGGGGGCAGAGCTGAGCCCAGCCGAGCACCACTGGCAGGTGCAAATGGTAGAAGTTGTGGGGCTGAACTTAGGGTCGGTGTGTTTTGGGGTACATCATTCCTCAGTTGATGAGTTAAACACACACACACAAAACTTGCTAAAAGCCGCTCCCACCCGCCACCCCCCAGTCTTCTAGAAGTTCCCTGGGAGGCGTCCACTGCAGACAGTGAGCCGGGGCCCTTTTCCCACCCCAGGGACAGCCAGACGTCTCATTCCCAGGCCGTTCTGTCGTCTCAGTCCTGCTCCTAATGCCGGCCTGTGTGGCTACATTGATTTCATTACCCACTAATGAGACCAAAAGTCGGCAGCTTTAAGAATCGGGACTTCCTCTGGAAGTGCCCGGGGGAAGCCGGCTTCCACCCCACTGGTCTCCCCAAGGCCGGCCTTGGGCCGCTGCCCAGTGAGCTTTGTTTTCAGAGAGCCCACTGCCCGATTGATCGCAGCTACCGTGCCGGGGCCCCGGAGCACTCGGAGTCTCCCCAGGGCCCCGGCAGCATGGCCGCCGGCCACCCGGCTCAGGAAGCCACAAGGAAACGGCCTGGCTGTCAGCCCAGCAAGGCCAGTGCCGCCCCCGTCCTGCATGGTCACCGTCAGCGCCACCCCCCACCCCTCCGCCTCTGCCCGAGTTCCCCCTTTTCTCCTCACTCCACCACAGGGACTGGGCAGGCTGCAGCCAGCAGAAGCAGTTGGTTCTTTATATCAAAATAGCAAAACCCCAAAGGGGAAGCTGACTAAGAGAACCCTGCTCTTTCCTACCCAAGCCACACGCAAGCCATGCTGACACCAAGTAGAATGTGTGCGCCTTGCACCAGCTGGAAAACGAACGCCGAGCAGCCAGAACAAGCAGCCCTGCCGCTTTAGAGTTACCGTGTGAGCAGAGAGCAGCGCATTCCAGAAGATGGAGGGCAGAGAGGAGGGCAGAGAGAAGCCCGGGATGCTGGCCCGGAGAGGGCGGCCCTCCAGCCATCCCCACCCCGACAGCCCCTCGTCGGTGCGGTTGTTTCATTTTTCTCACTGGGCTGATGCACAGAGTACAAGGGGCCTTGTTCTAGCCACCAAACAGCCTGTGTATTAAATCCCCATGATGTGCCCTAGCGGGTGTGGCTCAGGGGATTGAGTGCCGGCCTGCGAACCAAAAGGTCGCTGGTTCGATTCCCAGCGGGGGCACGTGCCTGAGTTGCGGGCCAGGTCCCCTGTTGGGGGCCTGTGAGAGGCAGCTGATCACTGTGTCTCTTATACATGGATGTTTCTCTCCCTCTCGTTCTCCCTCCCTTCCCGCCTCTAAAAGTAAATAAATACAACCTTAAAAAATAAACAAATCCCCGTAATGTGAAAGGGTGGAAAGGAAAGGATGGCCTAGGGATCGGGCGGGGGCAGTCGGGCACTGGTTTCTTCCCGGGCCATGTTGGGGGCTGAGGCAGGCAGTGAAAAGCGCCACCAGCCGGCAGCCTCCCGAGGTGCAGAGTGTCACCTGGGCCAGTGTCACCAGGGCCAGTGTCAGCACTGGGGGAGAGCAGGTAAGTGGGGGTGGACAGGGCATCCAGGTGCGTCCGGAGATTTCTCTGGAAGATACACAGAAGGAGCACATGGCCCGAAAGATTATAAACTTACGTGTGTTTGAAGATGAGAATGGGAAGCACCGGTCGAAGCACCGGGTGCTGTGGGTCAGCCAGGTCACTCGCCAGTGTGTCCTCAAGGGCCCCGAGCCCCCCTTCCTCGTGGCAGTGCCCACGGAGCAGGCAGAGCTTCTACGGCAGCTTCCTGGAGCGGCTGCGCAAGACGCAGAGGCCGGAGCTCATCAAAGATGGCGCGTTAGGTGCCCAGGAGCAAGTCCACGTTCAGAGCCATGGGCCGGCGCCCCTGGAGCCAGAACCCCCAGCTCCCAGCGCTGCTACCTCCAGCCCAAAGCAGGGCAAGAGGAAGTGTGCAACCAAGCAAACCGAAGTGTGCAACCAAGCAAACCGAAAGTGCGCTCGGAGAGAAGAATCACGCGCCCTGCCCCAGACAGCCACCTCGGCCTTTTAGAAAGTCACAGAAGCAGAATCAAACGTCCTGGGCGGCGTGGACTTAGGAAACAAGTTACAGAGTCCAGAGAAGAGCCCTTGCTGGGCGGGGGGAGAGTGGCGCGGGGACGGAGACAACCGTACTTGAACAGCAAGAAAAAAAGGGGGGAGCCTTGGAGACGGGTTCAGGGGTGAGCCCGGAAGGAACTGCCGCTGCCCACCGCGCCCTGGTTGCAAGTCTTGGGGGAACCCTGAGAGGGTGGAGGAAAGAGAGCAAAGATACATATCTGAAGAAAGGCCGAGAGTGTGTGCGCTAGAGAAGGAGTGCACTTCCTCTCTTTTTTTAAGAAAAGATTTTACTTAATTTATCTTTAGAGCGAGGGGGGAAGGTGGGCAGAAAGAGGGAGAGAAACATCAACATGCAAGAGAAACGTCATTGGTTGCCTCTTGCATGCCTGCCCCCTACCTGGGACCAAACCCTCAACCCAGCCACATGCCCCGAACCAGTGATCTTTTAAAGGTCTGCAGGACATCGGTTGCCCAGCCCACTAAGCCACATCAGTCAGGGTGCTCTTTTTAATGATGGAGAAGTGGGAATACTACCCTGGGTTGGTGGCTCACTTGGTTAGAGCATCATTCCAGTACACCAAGATTGCAGGGTTCAATCCCTAGTCAGGGCGCATACAAGAATCAGCCAGTGAATGAATGCATAACTAAGCAGAACAACAAAGCAATCTTTTCTCTCCCCCCTAGTCAGTAAATAAAAACTTTAAAGAAAGAAATGGGAATTCTACTCTTTGGTTACTGCAACCCTAGGCTTTCCATAGCAGCATCTCAAATGGGAAATCAATCTGTTGAGAATGTCTCAAAGAATCCCCTTTTCACGGGTATCCAGATGGTTTTACTATTGTAAAAACCAATGCTGTGAGCATCCGTTCGCAGGGGTATTTGAGCAGTAAGCCATTTATTTTCCACAAGCTAAGTCCCAAGAGGTAAAATGGGGGGGGGGGGTGTCATAATGTACTTGTACGTCGTGCTCCGAAATGTGCAGGCCGCGCCCCTCAGCCTGTGTTTACAGCCTGCAGCCGGCACGGGGCGGTTCTTTCCCCAAACCTGCCAGGGACTCTTCTCATGGCTTAACCCTCGTCAACCGGTAACTCATAAATGATACCGTTAGTGACGGTTTTATCAGTCGAATTGCTAGTGAAGTTGAGCTTTCTTTCATGAGCTCATTAGGCATTTGCATTTCTTCACGTTTTAAAAAGTTGCTGTGAATCTGGATTTGAGATCTCAGTTTATTGAAAATCTCATTTGCAATTACATTTTCTCATTCACTGATTAGTTGCAGGGCTTGTTTTGTTGTTTATATTCCTTACCGGTTTCCTTTATTACTCTCTCAGGAGGCTGGAGTTGTGTGGGTAATTTATGTACACGTTGATTTTTAAGGATGGGAGAGGCCACAGTACTTTCCAAAAAGACTTGCGTTTTGGGGGATGTCCCGGTTGATGTGGATGGCGTGTTGGGGTCACTGTGCTGCACCCTCAGACTGCAGGCAGCGTCCTGTGGTTGGCTGGCTCGCTTTCTTCCTCCCCTCTGCCTGCCCTTTCTGTCATTCAAGTGTCCCCCGCCCTGCTGGGTCGTGTTTTCCAGCGTCCCTGCTGGCATCCAGTGGGTGGAGAGAGGCCGGGTGCCCTCCTTGTGGATTTCTGTTCTGACATTTCCCTGACCGGTGGCCCTTCTGGGCTGTACCGGCGCCTTTGCCAGGCCGTGGGACGGCCTCCTGCAGCACCTTCGCTGGTGGCTTTTGCTGCATGTGCTCTGGTCTTTCCTTTGGCGGCTCCTGTTCAGCAGGCGACTCCCAACCCGCTGCTCTTTCTGCTTACCGTCTGTGACTCCAAGTATTGGGAGAATCACATGAACTGATTTTCCTGAATCATGGATTTTTTTTCATAGTATTGGGTCTGTCATAAATTATAATCCATTGGCTGTATGAGTTTTCTCTCCTGAGCAAATTTTATTTTTATTTTTTAAAAAGATTTAACTTAATTTTTTAGAGAGAAGGGAAGGGAGGGAGAAAGAGTGGGAGAGAAGCATCAATGTGTGGTTGCCTCTCGTGCGCCCCCTACTGGGGACCTGACCCACAACCCAGGCATGTACCCTGACTGGGAATCAAACCAGGTGACCCTTGGGTTCTTAGCCCTCACTCCATCCGCTGAGCTACACCAGCCAGGGCTCTTAAACAAATTTTAAGTTACTTATTAAAGACATTATACAATTAAAAATAATGTGGCACCTACAGGCTTGTCGTGAAAGGGACCGCCCTTTGCCTGTCTGCCCGTCCACGTCCTCTTCCCCACAAGGGAGCCCCTTTGACGCGTTTCAAGCTGTTCCTTGGGCGCCTTCTTTTCTGTTCCTGAGTAACCAACTTTTACTGTTTCTCAGTGTATTAAATCCCGACATTCTTCATTTCTTGCTACTGTACGTGAGGACTTAGCACCATCCCCTCCGCGTTTCCAGTATATACAACACCATTATTGTAATGGAACCAGCAAAAAGTATTTATATTGTTGTGATGCAAAAAAAAAAAGGATAATAGAAGAATGAGAAGCGTGTCCAAGTCACCCGGCAGAATGGGGACGCAGCAGGCAGCGGGAGGGTCGACAGCGTGGGGCGGAGTCCCCGTCTGTAGAGAGGGATGGTGCACACACAGCAGGTTTCCGGTGAAGAACTCAGAGGTGAGCGGTGTGCGTTGTGCTCAGATGCTGGGGAGGTGATGTGAGGGGAAAAGGCTGATCGGGGCGAGATGGGGGTGTATGTGAGGTGGGTCCCAGGGCCGGGTGCAGGTGACTTTGACCTCTAATGCGGTAGTTTGAGTGGTTCCTGAGTTTCGGTGGTTGTCTCCTGACCAGACCCTGACTGCCGCACGGACCATAGTTGCAGGGGCTGAGGCTGGGCCGGGGGTGGGGAGGCGGCTGGGGCAGGGACCCACTGACACTCCACAAGGTGTCATGAGCATCATCTCTGGGCCTGGCCTGGTACTGGACAGACAGCGCTGGGGACACAGCAGTCACTGTGACCGCCCTGGGCTCCGTCCCCGGGGGGCTCACGCTGCCATGTGGGAGACAGAGCGTAGACAGCGACTGAATGACAGAATCAGTCCAGTTGTGATGGGGGCTCTGAGGGGACACACAGAGTGAGTGATAGGAGGGACAGAAGGTCCCTGAATAGGGAGGTCAGGGAGGGGACCGTGGTCAGGGCTGGGATGAAGCCTGGACTGGGACGGGGGAAGAGGGTGAGGAAGAGACGCCCGGGGTCACATGGGGTCAGACACGTGGCTGAGAGGCTGTGGGCAGGGGAACACCCAGGAGGAGGAACAAGCGTGCGGGGAGCTGGGGTCAGGTTTGGACACGGTGGATGCCCAGTGTCTGGGAGACGTCCAGGGGCCTGCTGGCCATCAGTCCGGTGCAGTTGTCCGTCTTCTTTTGTCCTGGCTCTCGCTCCGTATCCCTTCCTCCCAGCCCTCCATTCCCACCTGGACCGCATTTCCTGAACCACAAGTCTGGCCCCTGGCCTGAGAGAGGTCAGGTGAGCCCCTGCTCTGAAAGTCCCCTCTCTTTTCTGTCACACACACACACACACACACACACCCCTTTGAGTTCCTTTCCTTCACTCTGGTTGTGTGCCCCGCCCCACATGTGCTCACTCCCATCCGCACACCCAGAGCTGGCCCATGTCCGCACACTCCGGCTCCACCCCCAGGAACGCCCGTCTGTGACTGTTCTCGCTGCTCCCCAGCTGCTACTCTCCTGACAGACAGGAGCAGGTGGCGGCAGGCCCTGGGCTGGGATGTGGTCCTTGGGACTGAGGCAGGTGCTGTCCTCTCCCCGTCTCACAGAGGTGGCTCAAAGGGGGTTGTCCTCACCCAGGCAGTAGGTGCGGAGCCCTGGGTGCACCCCAGGTTGGCCTGATGCTGGGACTTCAGTGTGGGGAGCAATCTGCACAGCCTGGGCCCCAGGAACCCCAAAACAACAGCGCATGTGGAACGGTTAGTAACAGCAGTGACCGTGGCGGCCAGCAGTTACTGAGGGGCCTGGGTGCACCCACCCAAGCTTGCTGCCGGGTCCACGGTACTCGTCAAACGCTTCAGAATAACTTTTCCTTACTTAAAGACAGGTTGCCTTCCATGTAACAGCTACATACAAAGTGTTATAAAATCATCCTTGGTTTTACAATGATAAGTGAAAAGCATTAAAATTCTCCAGTCGAGCAAGGTATATAAGGAATGATATGGTGGGGTTTTTTTTTTAATCACTTATTTTTAGAGAAGGGGGAGGGAAGGAGAAAGAGAGGGAGAGAAACATCCATGTGTGGTTGCCCCTCGCACGCCCCCTACTGGGGACCTGGCCCACAACCAAGGCATGTGCTGTGACTGGGAATCCAACTGGCAACCCTCTGGTTCAGAAGCCTGCACTCAAACCACTGAGCCACACCAGCCAGGGCAGGTGTGCTTCTCTCTGTTAAACAGTGAGAGCCCAGTAACTTACTGGAACATAGAGATGAGAGCCGCATGGGCGTGCCGCTGATGGAGGAGGGGAACCAGTGTTCCCCCAGCCCCTCTCCATTTGATGTCGATCAGAACACACCACCGGCCATCTAGTTCAAACACGCACATGCTCCTGCACACACCTTAGTTATTGGATGTAGAATAAAGGAATGGGGGCAGGGAAATGACAGACCAGGGAGAACGTTCCTGTGGGAGTCAGGGTGTGCTGGAACCGACTCGCAGCGTTCTCAGCGAGAGTGTCTTCCTGGTCGGGGGAGCGGGGTCCTGGCGTCCAGCAGCAGGCTCCCTCTTCAGCCGACACCCGTCTGCCGCGGGAACACATCGATTGTACCGTCATCCTCCACGTCCAAGTGGGCGGGTGCGTCCGTTTCTTTGGCGGCCTCCCTCCCCCAAAGTCAGAGCTGGGTCCGTCTCACACAAACCCCGCCGCCCGTCACGGCACGCTGTCCTGGGTTTGCTGAGAGGTCCGTGCCTCTTGGTCTCCCACTCACCACACAGCCACCTGCCCGCCACCTTCAGATCAGCATGACCATTGCTCTCGGTCTGGACTCCTTCCTTTGGGCACCGGGGTCTCCTCCGCTCCTGCTTCACAAAACAGGTCCCCACCGGTCTGCCCCCAACGCACATGAGCGGCCCCGGGAGACAGAAGGTGGCTGCCTGTCCCTTTAAAAATGGAAAGATCATATGCCCTGTAGGGCGTTTTCAAGTTGACATGTAAAACTTCTCCGAAGTTCAGGGAGTTGCAAAGGGTAGAATGTGTGCTGTGTCGTGAATATTGACATTTTCCAACAGAGCTGGCGCGTCCTTCCTCTGAAGTGTCCAGTGCAGTCCACCTGCTCTGGTGGCCTGCTGCCTGCCACTGTCCAGTTTAGAAAAGAAAAAGGAAAAAAAGAACAAGCTCTTTTATAGTCAGAAATCTCACATTCTTCCTTTTTGTCCTTGAACTTAATTTACAGTTGCCTTCCAGACAGAGTTCTGCCTTATGAATTATGTATCAACCAGAATATGTACAAAAATTAAAATATTAATTTTCCGTGACTCTGAGGTGTCCTAAATGTTAAAATATTTTTTTCTGAGTTGAATTACCTTTAAAATTGTTCTTAGTGCCTAATTAATATAAAGCATTTAGTGTATTGTGTATTTCATGCATAATTACTTTTTCATGAATAATTATTAAACATTAAAAGTACAAGGATACATTGGAAAAAGAATCTCCACAGAAGCTAGACAGGGCGCCCTCGTTCATTCTGTGTGTCCTTGGATGAGTGACTTTATTACAGGAACTCGCCAGGGTTCAGAACCATTCTGCCTTGGTTTTTAAGACTCAAGCGCTGAGTTTCTCTTCACAAAGAAGCAGCTGGGCAAGGCTGTTTCCGTCCCAGCAGCACCGGGCAACTCGAGCTTCCGCAGTGTGTTTCCAAAACCTCACCTTGAGGAGCTCACAGCCTAGATCCGTCTTTGGGGCTGATGGACACTGTAGGAGCCACCAGCCCAACAGAGACTTGGTTACCCCGCAATCACAGTCACTTAACATCGATTCCCACATTTCAGCTGCCCTTCCTCTGCCGCAGCCCTAACACCGCATTTTGGGAAAATGCGAGAAGAACGGGGGTTGTGCTTTCTCCTGGCGGGGAGGACGGACTGGCCAGCGGATGGCTTGAGGGAGGAGCAGAGGGAGCTAAGCGCCTGGCAACTGAGACTTTACACCTTCTGGGGACTTTGGGCTGGGGGAGGGGTGGCGGTCCTCCAGGCTCACAGCCCCTCGTTCTGAGGACCTCTCTTCCGGGGCAGGGCTTCTCGATCCCGCTGAGCGATAAAAGATGCCCCCCGGGGTCACCACAAGCCGGATGACTCGTCTTTCTCCAGGCGAGGCTGGAGCGGATCTTACTTAAAGCGCCCCCTGGCGATTCTCTTGGCGGCGTTGCCATGGCTCCCACCTGGACACTGAGGCGTGTTGGGGTGGGGCTGGCAGGGGGCTCCAGAGCACAGCCTGACCCCTCTCTTCCCCTGCAGTGTACCACTGGGTGGAGATGCGGACCAAGATGCGCATCATGGGCTTCCGGGGCACAGCCATCAAGCCGCTGAATGAGGAGGCGGCCGCGGAGCTGGGCGCCGAACTCCTGGGGGAGGCCACCATCTTCATCGTGGGCGGTGGCTGCCTGGTGATGGAGTACTGGCGCCACCAATCGCAGCAGCGCCACAAAGAGGAGGAGCAGCGCGCCGCCTGGGGTGCGATGCAGGACGAGGTGGGCCGCCTGGCGCTGGCGGTCGAGGCGCTGCAGACGCAGGTGCAGCAGGCGGCCTCGCCGAGCGCCCTGGAGGAGCTGCGGGCGCAGATGCAAGAGGTGCGAGCCCAGCTCTACGTCAGGGACCAGGATGCGCGGTCCGCGCCCAAGGCAGTGTCTGCATCAGAGAAATAGGCAGCTGCTGAAGCCTGAACTTGGGCGTGGCCATGTGTGCACACCTGTGGCCTTCTTAACTTAGCACTCTTGCCTGTGCTGGCCCAGGGGAAACCACAGGACTCTCGATGAACTTGGCCTTTGGTCACCCTCTACTGACCAGTGGTACCTTGCACTGGGACTGTGAAGCGTTCTAGCGCAGCCCCCTCCAACCTGTAGCTCGTGGCTTCAGTCTTCAGTGCTCACCTCTCCACCCCATGCCCAGCCACACAGGTCACAGCCAGCAGGACAACGCGCCCACTCTTCTGGCAGAAGAACAAAAGAGCTTGGACCTGAGCTGACTCAACTTCCCTTTTTACCTGATCAGTGGTTCCTTTCCCTGGGACACTCGCCCATGACACTGAGCACCCCCTTTTACCAGTTGGTGCAGGCCATTGAAAGGCATGCGCATCTTTCAGTGGACTTGTCTGTCCCCCCTCTCAGGTGGGCTGTAGGTGGGCATCGCCCCTCTCTTTGAGCAGGTCTGGGGGGGAGGGTCCTGGCCTGCTATTTATCCTCCAAATATCTTTCCCTTAACCTGATCTGTGTGATACCTTCTCTTGAGTCCCCAGGTAAAATATTTCAAAGAACCCCCTCATCCTTCAGTCTCCGGCACAACCCACGGGAATGGCTGTGCTGGTCTCCCACGGTGCCTTCCCAACGCCCCTGATGTGGAGGAGAAGGCGACATTGCCTAGGGCTAATCCAGCCTGGCGGTCGGCCTGTCTGCCTGTCCCCAGCGTCCCTGGGCCTTTCCCGACTCAGCCTGTCCTGCTGTCCCCTCCAGCGGCCTCTCTCAGGCAGCTGCTAGTGTGGGTTGGATGAGCATGTCTCCCATGCTGCGTTTCAGCCTGTTGACCCCCGTTCCCTTGCCCCCACCCCCTGCCCCCCCACGGAGCCCTGGGCTGGTCCAGCTGTCTGTCCGTCTTCACGCAGTGGTGCCTCCTGCCTGCACTGCCCCGAGAGCCACCTGTGGCTCCCTCGTCTGGGCCACTGGTCGGTCTGCCCTTCTCTACTGGTTTCCTGTAGCCGCCAGAACAAATGACCGCACTCTTGGCTTAAAACAACAAGGATTTCTTCTCCCACAGATCCAGGATCAAGTGACAGCAGGGCCATGCTCCCTCCAAAACCTTTAGTGAAGGCGAACCCTTTCCTATCTCTCCTTCCAGCTCCTGGTGTCTCCAGGTGTCCCATAGAGACACCTGGTCATTGGGTTCAGGGACACCCTCAACCTAGGAAGACCCTTTTTGCAAAGAAGCCCACATTCACAAGTTCCATGGGTAAGGATGTAGACGTACCTTTTTTTTTTTTTTTTGAGGGGGGAGGCACCATTCAACACACTACACCTCCCCGCCCCAAGAGTGTGCTGGGACCCCTGCCACCCCCATGGGACATTCGGCCTTCCCCACTTGACAGGGACAATCCAGGAACTAGCCTTCACTTCTCGGTTTCTCTTCTGGGATTCACCACAGAAGCGGAAAGGGGTGTGGCTCCCCCCAGGCTTTTCTGTTTTTTCAGACTCTAGATGTCTCCTCATTTAAGGAGCCTGGAATGAGGCTCCTTAATGAGGAAGTTGTTTTAAGGGCGGGTCTCAGAACCATTCCGAGGACTTCCAGAATGGACACAAAGCTCACTGAAACCAGAGAGACATGGGAGGGATCTGGGGGGTGAATGAGCTGAGAGTGAGCCTGTGAACTCTCCCGGATTGGGAAACGGGCTCCGGGCTCCGGGGAAGCTCAAGGCTGTGAGGCCAGTGAAGGACTGGAGTCCGGGGCACGGCTGGGGAACCAGAGAGGAGCCCCCAGGTGGTTCTGGCTGCCGGGTGTTGGAAGAGTACAGGTGCGGGGCCAGAGGAAGCTGAGAGGGCAGGGGATTCAGTAGGGAGGGGCGGGGGTCTCTCCCGAGATCTCCGAGGCAGTGTTCAGAGCGGGCGGCTCCCCACCCCCATCAGAGCAGCCCCAGGTCACACCCAGGATCTTAGCATCTCAGGAAGGGCCTTAGATTCATCTCTCTTGGGCCCTTTTCCAAGAACTGGGAGAGGCAGGGTTTCTCTCCCTTCCTCACCGCACTTCCCCCCGGGGATGAAGAAGGACCTGGACACGAGACCTGATAGGAAACTCGGGCTCTGAAACATCTCATTCTCTGTGGGAGAAGCTGGTGCAGAGGGAGCAAGGAGGTGGGTTCCGGGGTTTCTGCTTTATGCCCTGAGCAGGTTAGATGAAGAAGGCAAGAGGTACCACTGCATGAAAGGGGGGTGCGCGGAGGAGCCCGGTGAGCCGCTCAGTGCCTGGTTTCCATGGTTACCCCTGAGCGGGTTCACCAGCGCGGTCACGTCTCTGGAGCACGGGTTGCTGGTGGCCAGGGACGCTGACTGCCAGCGCCCCGTCCGGTGGTGTCATGAAAGAGCAGCCACATGGAACTTAATGAGCTCTGGAAAGGTGCCCGGCGTCGTCCTAAATGCTTTGCGTAATCCCAGTGGCATGTTGTTCGTTTCATTCATGAAGAAACGAGCACACAGAGGAAGAGTCACCTGCCCGAGGTCACAGGCGGGGAAGAGACAGATCGTGAAGACGGACAGGCTGGGCCGGAGCCCACGCCCCTCACCCCTGCGCCTTCCCGACCCCGTTGCAGCGCTGTGCTCACGTCTGCGAGGCTGCAAACAGCCCCCGAGTGGCCAGACCTGTGGGACGCAGCAGCTTCACCCACTGGGTGGGCGGTGGGATCAGGGTGTGCACGGTGGAGACACCCCCTCTCAAAATGCTCCAGGCCAGAGAATGCACAGGTTCATCATGTCCACTTCCTATTAGAAATTTTGTATGCACGTGTGACGTGGGGAGCGGAGTTAGAATAAATCTGTAATTCAAGTCGGTTGTCTTCAAGCCGCTTTTTTCCCCCCACATTTGGAAAATCCCTGTCAGCAAAAACGTCCTTTGTTTATCCTTTCATTTAAGGAACTACCCCCAGGGGCCCTGCCCTGTCTGTGCCGGTGCGGTGTCAGCCGGGACTGAGACCGGGACAGCCCGCCCTCCCCGGCAGGACCTGCAGCCTGGTGGGGGCGGCAGGGGCACGCACAGCTGGTTTTTTCCAGTGTTATCTGCCCGGCCTCTGAGTCTTTGGGAATTAGGGTCCAGACTCCTCCCCTCCTGAGGTACTCGGGGCTCCAAAGACAGAAACCCAGACGCACTGACAACAGAAGCCTGCGCCCCACGGCTCTGCCCCTCCCGCCTCCCGGCTGAACCCACAGGCCCGGCTGTTGGTTTCCCTGTCGGCTGGCCCATGCCCCGGGCACCCCAGGCGAAAATGGGGCTTCATAAAGCCCCTGCCCGATCCCTGGCCCAGGTGGCCATCCCTGTACGAGCCACGTGATGCTCAGTGGCTAGGTTGGGTCCCCGACTGCGAGGACGGAGAGGAGAAGCATCCCCAGAGGAGGACGAACGGGTATTGTCGACCCACACACCACACAGATGTTTGCCGAGCCCGAGCTCCCCCCCGTTCTAGCAGATGAATACTGGTGGGGAACCAGACGTTATGACATCTGGTGCGGGGACAGTAAAAACAAAGACCTGCCCTGGCTGGGTGGCGGCTCAGTTGGTTGGAGCATCGTCCTGATGCCCCAGGGTTGCGTGTTCAATTCCCAGTCAGGGCACATACAAGAATCAACCAGTGAACGTGTGGATGGGTGGAGAGGTGAGTGGGTATTTCTCTCTCTCAAATTTTTAAAAGTGTAAAAAAGAAGGAGAAGGAGTAAAGAATTAACCCCATGTCAAAATTCAGAAGTAATGGGGATGGCTGATTTAGATCAGGGGGTGAGGGAGGAAGCAACGTTTGAGATGAGCCCCAAAGGGCTGTTAGTTTGTATGGAAGCTGTTGGCCTCCTCCTGGAGCAGCAAGAGCTCCTGGTACCAGAATAGAGCAGGGGCTAGTGGTCTAAAGCCCGTGTCAGCAGCCACACACCATTTATCTGTTTTCAGTGAGTGTTTGCTAGAGATACCATATGGCCTTCAAAGATGGAAACACAGGCTCCCTCGCCCTTTTACATGAAGAATTTACCAGCCCCTGGAATAGAGAAGTCAGGGAAAGCGGTGCGTGAGCGGTGAAGAGAGCAGAGGCCGGCAGCCCTGCCTCAGCTGGCACGGCTGGGGGGGGTCCCATGAGCCCCAGGCGCCCCATCCCACGGACCGCTGACCACCGCATTCACTCCAGCTTCTCCCTGCCCAGACCCTCTTCCTTCACTCCCACCCACAGGAGCTGTGCCCGGGCCCCGCAGTAACCCAGCTGCACAGGGGCCTCGGACTGCCCCTCAGTCTGCCCCATTGAGACTGCAGCCCACCACGTACACGCAATACTTACAGGATAGTTCACAGTGCACCCTAAGTGCATGTTATAACTAGCACTTAATTAGTGCATTATGTGACATCGTGTATAATGGAATACATGAGAGGAGACCCCAAAAGCAATTTATTTATAAAAATTGTATATTTATTCTTACATGTTTACACTTCAATTATGTTGCACATACTCTCCATTTGATGCATTACACCTATTGAGGCGTTTTTTCCACTGCTCAAAACAGTATTCGAACTTGTCTGTTTTGATGCCTTTTAGTGCTTCTGCCTTTTTTCTGTTTCACCTCTTCTACATCTGCACATTTCCCTTCGAGGACTTTTTTCATCTGGGGAAAACAAAAGTCACTCAGCATGAGATCAGGCAAATAGAGAGGTTGGGGCACAGGGGTCAAGGCATTTTGGGTCAAAAACTGCCAAACACTCAGAACGGTGTGGGCAGGTGCGCTCATAAATCACCCCTCATGAAATGGGCAAACACACTGAGTCTCAAAAAGAATTCACTGAAGCCGAATGCAGCTTCTCACAACAACGCCAGCTGGCAAACTGACACAGATGGGTTCCTAGAACACCCACCCAACCAGTGAGTGTACTGCAGGGACCCACCCTCCAGAAGATGTGGGTTTTTTTTTTTAGGTTCCCCCTCATAAGAATATTTTAGGAAATACATAACATTGTGCATTATATGTTGTGTGTGTACATATGGTTTCACTAAATAATTCCCTTAATATGTGCAGCCAATTACCTACCTTATCACATTCTATTTTATGACACCTACATGTATAGATACATGTATAGCTATATACCTAATATGTATCATAAGCATATAAACCCTATTGTTTGTATTATAGAATATGGATTATATTTGAGTATCATATGTTGTATATTAATATCTTGTTAGAACAAAAGATTTGCTCCACAGTACTTTTCCTTACCATGTGTGACACACTCTGTTCCTTTCTCTTTTATTCTGTTTCATAAAAGCATGTTCACATGTATGTATTGTACAGACCCTACATGAAGTGGGCTGCCTCGGGCCACGTGAAGACTTGGGCTTTTGCTCTGGGTGAGGCAGTAGCCGCCAGGAGGGGTCTGAGCAGAGGAAGCACGTGAGCTGACGTTTTTAACAGGATCCCTGTGACAGCCACGTGGGGGGCAGGCTGTGCTGAGCAGCGCCACCAGGCCATTGAAGAGGCAGCTGTAACTGTCCAGGAGGGAAGTGTTGGTGGCCGGACCAGGCAGAGACCGGGGAGGTGGGAAGAAATGGAATTCTGAGCATATTAATATCCCAGAGGCCTGGCTGGTGCGGCTCAGTGGATTGAGCGCTGGTCTATGAACCAAGGGGTCACCAGTTCCATTCCCAGTCAGGGCACACGCCTGGGTTGTGGGCCAGGTCCCCAGTAGGGGGCGTGTGAGAGCCAACTGATCAATGTTACCTGAGCACATTGACGTTTTCCTCCCTCCCTTCCCCTCTCTCTAAAAATAAATAAATAAATGGATGAACGAATGAACGAATAAATAAATAAACAAATAAAATCTCTCTTTTTTTTCAATATAAACTTTTATTTCTCTATAATATGCACATTTGGAAAAATGATTTGGTTTTATTTACATTTTATTTTTATTTTTATTTTTTTAATTTTTTATTGATTATGCTGTTACAGTTGTTCTATTTCCCCCCTTCATTCCCCTCCACCCTACCCCCCGTCCCCACCATTACCCCCCTTTAGTTTATGTCTATGTGTCTCAAGTTCTTTAGATTCTATATTTCCCATGCTATTCTTGCCCCCCCATCTATTTTCTATCTACTGTCTATGCTACTTATTTTCTGTACCTTCTCCCCCCTTCTCCTCCTCCCACTCCCCTGTTGCTAACCCTCCTTGAGATCTTCATTTCTATGTTTCCACTCCTGATCTAGCTGTCCTTTTAGTTTGCTTTTGTTTGTATTATAGAATATGGATTATATTTGAGTATCATATGTTGTATATGGTTGTTAATAACTGTGAGTTTGTTGTCCTTTCACTGTTCATGTTTCTTTAACTTCTTTTTCTTTGATAAGTCCCTTTAACATTTCATATAATAAGGGCTTGGTGATGATGAACTCCTTGAATTTGATCTTATCTGAGAAGCACTCTTATCTGTCCTTCCATTCTAAATGAAAGTTTTGCTGGATAGAGCAATCTTGGTTGTAGGTCTTTGGATTTCATGACTTGGAATACCTCTTTCCAGCCCCTTCTTGACTGTAAGGTCTCTTTTGAGAAATCCGCTGACAGTCTGATGGGGACTCCTTTGTAGGTGACTGTCCCCTTAGCTCTTGCTGCTTCTAGGATTCTCTCTTTCATTTTAATCTTGGCTAATGTAATTATGATGTGCCTTGGTGTGTTCCTTCTTGGGTCCAATTTCTTTGGGACTCTCTGAGCTTCCTGGATTTCCTGGAAGTCTATTGCCTTTGCCAGATTGGGGAAATTCTTTTTTATTATTTGTTCAAATGAGTTTTCCACTTGTGGCTGTGCCTTTCCCCCTTCTGGTACCCCTATAATTCAGATGTTGGAGCGTTTAAAGATGTCCTGGATGTTCCTAAGTCTCTCCTCATTTTTTTGAATTCTTGTTTCTTCATTCTTTTCTGTTTGGTCATTTTTATCCTCCTTCTGGTCTAGTCCTTTTATTTGATTCCCAGTTTCCTTTCCATTAGTATTGGTTTCCTGTGCAATTCCTTTCATTTCAATTAGTTTAGCCTTCATATGTTCCTCTAATTTGTGACTAAAATCAACCAGTTCTGAGAGCATCCTGATGACCAGTGTTTTGAACTGTGCATCTGAAAGTTTTGCTATTTCTTCATCACTTAGATTTATGGGCTCTGGGGCTTTGAGATCTTCTTGAGCCATTTTTGGTCTGTTCGCGCCCATTATGTATGGGGAGCGGAGCCTTAGGGGCGGGGCCTCCAGGGTGGGGTCACTGGGTAGTGACGCTGTATGTGGGGGCGGGGTCAGAGCTGGGAAATGGCTGCCGTCTCTGCTGCCTCCCGTCACTGGGACCCGCTCAGTCCCGTCTCACTGCCCACTCCCTCACTGGTCTATCGGTCAGGCTGAAGAATTCGTTGTTATCAGACTTCCAAAAAGTTCAATTTTCTGTGTTCTGGCTGTGTTTTCTGTTGCTAATATTTTATTATCGCTAAACTTGGTTGTGTGAGAAAGCATGGCTTCTCCACCTATGCCTCCATCTTGGCAGAAGTCCTATTTGTTTTTTTTTTTTGTCTCAGCACACCTGTTATGTAGTAAGGGGCGGAGCCTTAGTTGTTCACCAGGGCGGGGCAACCCACGTGGCTGTCTCCTGGTGCTCTCTGTGGGGGAGGAGTCCAAGGGGGAACCATGCTGCTTGCTGAGCTCTCCACTGGCTTTCAGTCCCTTCCCCCGCTCCTCACAAGCAACTTGGGTCCTTCTGGTGCTGATTCCCAGGTAAGTGGGTTTGTGTACGTTCTAGGACCCCGTGGGTCTCTCCAACAAGCTCTTCTGTGAGGCTGG